CATGAAAGCTGAATTCGAAACCTTGAAGGGTGAATATCTTTCCGTGATTCCCGAGTTAATAGTTTGACCGCCAAAATTCTCACGAGGCCGTAGGTGATACTCAAGAGCGCGAGAAGGCTGAATTTGAATAGGCAGGGTTGAGCGTGGGCAGGGGGTTACTACCCTAAAATTTCAGCTTCCTAGACCCCGTAGTTCCTGAGATATTAACTAACTCGTAAAAAATTTTCACGGGGCCGTTCGTGTTACCCGCGGGTACGGGAAGGCTAAATTTGAATGGGCAAGGTTGAGCCTGAGCAGGTGTTCATTACCCTAAAATTTCAGCCTCCCAGACTGCGTGGTTCCCGAGATATTAATTTACCCGTAAAAAAAAATTTACTTGGCCGTACGTGTTACCCGCGGGTAAAGGAAGGCTGAATTTAAATTTGCCGCGTCACCCGTTGGCGGGGAACACTATACCAAAATTTCAGCCGCTTAGCTTTTGTGGTTCCCGAGTTAAAAGTGCGAGACAAAATGTGGGACACACACACAAACACACACAAACACAGACAACCCCGTGACAATATGCATTTTGTAACGCTGTTACACAGCACAGAACGCATAACAAATGAACAAAAAACCTAATACACAGACATAAGTCTTACTGAACTAGTAATACAAAGTTCTATTGCCTTCATTCTGTGTGTCTGCTCAATTTTCCTCAACTGCACGATGAATGCTGCTTGATGAATAAACAATACTTACTCAGCAAACGCTTTTCAGAGGAAAACAATGTTTTGTGATAACGTGATATGATTGAGCGGCAAGTACCCACCGCATCATCTGTCCACAGAAGACAGAACTAATCAATGAGAACTGAATACTGCATCACTGTTACAATGGTATGCCAGCGCCGAACAGGCGTCGTCAGGGAAAGAGGCAGCAGCAACCACAGAGCAACCGAAATCTACCCTGTTTGCTTTATATTTATATCGACTGCTATGTGATGACCGTAGGAGTCCTGTTCATTGTGTACATTGAGGTTTTTTTTGAGGAGAAAAGGGGAGGAGGGAGGGAAGGGGTAGGATAAAGACTGGTTGCTTTACTGGGTCCAACAAACTGAAACAAAAAAAAACAACTTCTAACGCATAACAAACCTTCCCACTTCAAATTCTTGTCGCCATCAGCAGTAAGTTCATTCAACAAGGCACTGTAAATTTTCATTGCATCCGCTACCACTTCTTTTAAGCCACTTCCCGGTAAAATATCATGGAATTGATTGAGCAGAAAGCGATGCCACTGATTCCTTAGAGATTTGCCTTCATTGAACTCAAGAAGCGACATCGACTGAAAATATGAAGTGAGAGCGACTTTTTCAAGCAAACCCGAATAGAACAAAGTAAACGATACAATAAAATGTAGTGTGACCTGTAAACTGAAGCATCTATGCTCCAAAATGTCCACGACGAATGCAGTGAATTTAACAATTTCGGTCAAAAGAACGAAAAAGGGAAGTAGCAAGAATAAATGTCAGAATTTCAACATTCCGTGACAGCACTGATGGAACCCAAAGGAGCGCTAAGATGAAAAGATGGCTCGGGCAATTAGTTCCCCTTGGGATGCAGAGTCGGTTCGCAGCACTTTTCCGGAAGCGGCATTTCCTTTCCGCTGGGACAACGCGAATTTTTCCGTCTAAGCGTTAAATCGGCCTATCGCTTCATCCGTCGCCAGCATTCTTTGTTCCACGCCTGGGTACTTATAGACGTCGGAGGGATCTAACGTTGGCAGTTGAACTGCATCGGCATCGATATTTGCCCCAACAGTGGGATATGCTTTACTAAACTTATAAAAAGAAAAGAATTAATCTTTCTCACTTGCAAAAATTCGCAGTCCTTGAAAATGCTCTCCAAAAGTCTGT